GAATACATAATTGGCATAAGCATAATTAACAGATGGCAAAACTCCCACATTGGCTCCTTGACTGGTAAGGTGAGGGCTACTATGGTGGAAAAGGCCAAATGGAAGCCATTAGAGCTGCCTCTACCTAGGAAAATAGTAAATCAAAAACAGTATTGCATTCCTGGAGGGATTGTGGAGATGAGTGCCACCATCAAGGACTTGAAAGACACAGGGGTGGTGATTCCTACCACATCCCCATTCAACTCTCCCATTTGGCCTGTGCAGAAAACAGATGGATCATGGAGAATGACAACAGTTGATTATCATAAGCTTAACCAAGTGATGACTCCAGTTGCAGCTGCTGTACCAGATGTGGTTTCATTGCTTGAGCAAGTTAACACATCTCCTGATACCTGGTATACAGCCATTGACTTAGCAAATGCCTTTTTCTCCATTCCTGTCCATAAAGCCCACCAGAAGCAATTTGCCTTCAGCTGGTAAGGCTGACAATATACCTTTACTGTCCAACCTCAGGGGTACATGAACTCTCTGGCTTTGTGTCATAATCTTATTTGGAGAGAGTTTGATCAGTTTTCACTTCTGCAGGATGACATGATGGTCCATTACATTGATGACATTATGCTGATTGGATCTAATGAGCAAGAAGTAGCAAACAAACTGGACTTATTGGTGAGACATTTTCGTGCCAGAGGATAGGAAATAAATCTGACTGAAATTCAGGGAGCTTCTACCTCAGTAAAATTTCTGGGGGTCCAGTGGTGCAGTGGTGTGGGACCTGTTGAGATAGTCTTTTTTTTTTTTTTTTTTTTTGAATGGCTGAAAAGTTTACTTTTGAGTTTTAAACTGCCCTTTGAAAACTATATTGTGCACTGTGCTGGCATGCAGAAAGGCTGGGCTCCCTGAAAACATCCTGTTCCACCACAGGGCAGCTCAAAGCTGAGCCAACCCCCAGGCGACGCAGAGCGGCATCCCACCTGGTGTAATGTGGGTGGAGGCAGAGCCAGGCCAAATTGAGGGACTGTGCTGGGGCCCTACTGGCCCAGACTTCCTACCTGACCCCAGCACAGAAGTGGTCTGTAGGGCTGGCCAAGGACCCTGGTTCACAGAAAGTCCCTATCTGGCAGGAAGTCAGCTCTGTAGGTTCCACCCCAAGGCCACACACAGCCTTCCCCACCTGCAGATTCTGCCAAGCCTCAGTCCGCAGTGGTGACAGGCAACCCCATCAGGACAGGGTGCTTCCAAAGGCCAGTCCGAGTCCACACCAGGTATCCACTAAATCTGCCTCTCCCTCTCCAGCAAGCTGGGTGCAGCCCTCAACCTCTGCAGACATGGGGAGTGGGGTCAGGACCTACTGTAGGCTCGGGAAACACCCTGGTCCTGATTTTCACAGTGGTCTTGAGAAGGCCAGCCCAGCAGACAGGTGGCTGGAGAGGCACATCCTGGGCCCCAACATAGGTCCACCACGCCGACTCCTGCAGTAGCCTCACTGAAGCGGCAGAAACACAGAAGTGCCAAATCCATCACTCTTTTCCTGTAGGAAGTCCCCAGAGGTAGCCCTCAGGAGAATGACCCTGTTGGCTGAAGATAGGACCATAACACCCATGCCTGCCCAGGGCCACCTTCGACTTGGCTACAGGAACTCTGCAGACTGACACCCTGGACACACAAGGAAAAGAAAGTTCCCTCCAAGGGGGTATCTGGCCCAGCCTCGACCCCAGCAAGCGGAGGGCAGCAAAGCCCCCAAATGACTCCGCTATCCCCCACCCACCGTCCCTGCTGGGCAGACAGGCACACCCTGTCCATGGGGGCACCCCCACCCCACAGTGTTCGGCTGCCCTCTCGTCCCCATGTGCACAGTCACCTGCCCACCAGACCCGGGTCACAGGGCCAGGAGGATAGCACTGCTCAGGCACAGAGAGATTGTCTTTCGAAGGTGAAGGATAAGTTGTTGCATTTGGTCTCTCCTACAACCAAGAAAGAACTATAAAACCTAGTTTTGGATTTTGGAGGCAACACATTCCTCATTTGGGTGTGTTACTCTGGGCCATTTATCAAATGACGCAAAAGGCTGCCAGTTTTGAATGGGGTCCAGAACAGGAGAAGGCTCTGCAACAGGTCCAGGCAGCTGTGTAAGCTGCTCTGCCACTTGGGCCATATGACCCGGCAGATCCAATGGTGCCCGAGGTGTCTGTGGCAGATAGGGATGCTGTTTGGAGCCTTTGGCAGGCCCCCATAGGTGAATCACAGAGGAGGCCTTTAGGATTTTGGAGCAAGGTCCTGCCATCTACTGCAGATAACTACTTCCCTTTTGAAAGACAGCCCTTGGCCTGTTACTGGGCTTTGGTGGAAATTGAACGTTTGACTATAGGCCATTAAGTCACCATGCCACCCGAACTGCCTATCATGAACTGGGTGCTTTCTGACCTATCTAGCCTTAAACTGGGTCATGCGCAGCAGCATTCCATTATCAGAGGGAGGAACACTGCCACCAGGAGACACAACAATTCCATTAAACTGGAAGTTAAGATTGCCACCTGGACACTTTGGGCTCCTCCTATCTTTAAGTCAACAGGCTAAGAAGGGAGCTGCAGTGTTGGCTGAGGTGATTGACCCAGACTATCAAGATGAAATCAGTCAACTACTCCACAATGGAGGTAAGGAAGAATATACATGGAATACCGGAGATTCATTAGGGCATCTCTTAGTATTACCATGCCCTGTGATTAAGGTCAGTGGAAAACTACAACAGCCCAATCCATGTAGGACACAAATGGTCTAGACCCTTCAAGAATGAAGATTTGGGTCCTGTACCAGGAAAGAAACCACAGCCTGCTAAGGTGCTTGCTGAAGGCAAAGAGATACAGAATGGGTAGTAGAAGAAGGTAGTCATTAATACCAGCTATGACCACGTGACCAACTGCAGAAACGAGAACTATAATTGTCATGAGTATTTCCTCTTTTTTTTTTTTGAGACGGAGTTTCGCTCTTGTTACCCAGGCTGGAGTGCAATGGCGCGATCTCGGCTCACCGCAACCTCTGCCTCCTGGGTTCAGGCAATTTTCCTGCCTCAGCCTCCTGAGTAGCTGGGATTACAGGCACGCGCCACCACGCCCAGCTAATTTTTTGTATTTTTAGTAGAGACAGGGTTTCATCATGTTGACCAGGATGGTCTCGAGCTCTTGACCTTGTGATCCACCCACCTTGGCCTCCCAAAGTGCTGGGATTACAGGCATGAGCCACCGCACCTGGCCTCCTCCTTCTTTTATTAAAAACATGTTTGTGCATGTGTACACTTGTACTAAGAAAATATCTTCATTTTATTTACTATTCCTTTATCATATGACATAAGATTTATTGACTTCATATCAGCATTTAAGTATCATTAACTTTATATAATAGCATTTGGGTTGGGGATTGATGTGTTTCTGGTTGTACAAAGGATAGTTGTATTATGTTGTAATTATGACATTATTGTTTTTATTTGAAGATTATGTATGATATCAGGAGATGTGTATGGGTTCAAGTTAACAAGGGGTGGACTTGTGGTGGTTAATACTGAGTGTCAACTTGATTGGATTAAAGGATGTCAAGTGCTAATCCTGCATGTGTCTGTGAGGAGATTAACATTTGAGTCAGTGGGCTGAGGAAGGCAAACCCACCCTTAACTACATGGGCAGAATCTAATCAGCTTCCAGTGAATATAAAGCAGGTAAAAAAATGAAAAAAGGAGAGAGATGGGCCTAGCCTCTGAGCCTACATCTTTCTCCTGTGGCGGATGTTTCCTGCCCTTGAACATTGGACCCCAAGTTCTTCAGTTTTGGGACTGAGACTGGCTCTCCTTGCTCCTCAGCTTGCAGACAGCCTATTGTGGGACCTTGTGATCATGTATGTTAATACTTAACAAACTCCCCTTTATATATCCTATTAGTTCTGTCCCTTTAAGAGAACCCTGACTAATACAATCCCCATGATGGAAGCCTGGTCCTCTGTGGTACAGAGTTATTGAAGCAGGAGAATAGGATCTGGAGGCAGCAAACATGAGGCTGCATGCCAACTTCCTAGAACTAAATTGAAAGGAAAACCTAACTTTCCATGCCTAAGTAAGAGAAGGACCAGAGGCTACTCCCTTTGACCTTTTCTGGAAGGATTAGAGGCTACTCCCTTTGATCTTTTCTGTGTGGCAGATGGGAAATTGGCTGTTTGCAAGGAATCAGACTGATTGCAGGCCAGTCTTTGCATAGAATTATAATTTTGTAACTTCACCCTAGCCTCTTATTCGTTGCCCTCTGCAATGTTTGCATAGGAGTGCGATCTTTGTATCTTCACTTCAGCCTCTGGTTGGCTGCTTTCTGCCACCAATCAGACTGATTGCAAGCTACCATTTTATTTACATGAGGTGAACATGAAGTGACCACTGGGAAATTTCTAGGGTGTATTTGGACCCAAGAAGATTCTGTGTCTAGGCTCTTGAGCAGCTGCTCGGGCCACTCCCACACTGTAGAGTGTGCTTTTGTTTTCAATAAATCCTTGCTTTCATTCTTTTGTTGATTCTTTCTTTCTTTGCTGGGCATTTTGCCCTACTCTTTGTTCAAAATGCCAAGAACTTGGACAACTTGCATTCACAGCCCTCAACTGGTAACATTATGATTCCCCTTCTTTACCAATCATAACCACCTTCTAATTCTTCAGGGGTTTCTGCTGGTTTTTAGTTTCCTTCATTATACTAATTTATTTCTTCCTTCTGAGGCATCTTCGGGTTTAGACTGGGGGAGACAGACTGTGCCACTTTGCCATCATGTTAGGGGCCCATAATGATATGCCTTTCATGACTCAGCCTACCCCAGGGATATTGAAGCTTTGTGTCTCCAGTAATCTAGGGCAGAAGATATTCTTTCTTGATTGGTCATGGTAGTAGTCCAGAAATGAAGATGTTCAAGCTGAAGAACTTACAGGCAGAATATAAAAGCAAAGGAAAGACAAAGCAATATATATACATTAAAGAGAACAAAATAGGTGTTTCCTGAAAGATATGTACCTTCAACATGCTTGTATTTAATTTTACAGTGATTTGGGAATCTTCTTAACCCTGGAAATGAGACAAGAAAATTAACCTCATTATAAATTGCTTTAAACACATTTGTGGGAATATAGGTGAGTCATGGGGAAAAGTGCCTCCAGAACTCACAAAGATAAACTAGTAAAATCAGTATGTAGGCCGGGTGCAGTGGCTCACGCCTGTAATCCTAGGACTTTGGGAGGCCGAGGTGGGTGGATCACCTGAGGTCAGGAGTTCAAGACCAGCCTGGCCATCGTGCTGAAACCCCATCCTTTAAAAAAAAAAAAGAAAAAAAAATCAGTACGTCATCCTTCTTTTTTTTTTCTTTTTTTTGAGACAGGGTCTCGTGCTGTCACCTAGGCTGGAATGCAGTGGCACCATCTCAGCTCACTGTAACCTTTGCTCCCCAAGCTCAAGCAGTCTTCCCACCTCAGCCTCCTAAATAGCTGGAATTACAGGTGTGAGCCACTGTGCCTGGCCTATAATCCATATTTATAAAAGTCACATAAAGGTGGCAGAATGTCTTGCAGCCCTAAAATCAGGAAGAAAAGGACTTGGTAACAGCTTATTACTTATTAGACAGTATTCTTTTTTTTTTTTTTTTTTTTGAGACGGGGTTTCGCTCTTGTTACCCAGGCTGGAGTGCAATGGCACGATCTCGGCTCACCGCAACCTCCGCCTCCTGGGTTCAGGCAATTCTCCTGCCTCAGCCTCCCTAGTAGCTGGGACTACAGGCATGTGCCACCATGCCCAGCTAATTTTTGTATTTTTAGTAGATACGGGGTTTCACCATGTTGACCAGGATGGTCTTGATCTCTTGACCTCATGATCCACCCGCCTCGGCCTCCCAAAGTGCTGGGATTACAGGCTTGAGCCACCGCGCCCGGCCTATTAGACAGTATTCTTATACCTAAAGTTAGAACATGGCTTAAATATTGATAATGATTGTTATTTCTGAGGATAGGCCTGTCTGTATTTTTTAAATTTTCAGTGAACATGCATTACGTTTGTAATTGGTAAAACCTGAATATTATTTTAATGGAATTTTTATAGAGAAATAATTATATAAACATACAAAGTATTGTAAAGATACTTGCTGTAGCATTGTCTGCAATGTTGAAAAATATCCAAATTTCTATCAGTAGGAGAACAATTGAATACATTATGATATGTCTATATAATGGGTCAGGTGTCCCTGTAATCCCAGCTACTTGGGAGACTGAAGCAGGAGGATCACTTCACCCCAGAAGTTAGAGGTTACAGTGAGTTATGATTGTGCCACTGTACTCTAGCCTGAATGACAGAGCAAGACCCCATCTCTAAAAACAAACAAAAGGCTGGGCGTGGTGGCTCAAGCCTGTAATCCCAACACTTTGGGAGGCCAAGACAGGTGGATCATGAGGTCAAGAGATCGAGACCATCCTGGTCAACATGGTGAAAACCCATCTCTACTAAAAATACAAAAAATTAGCTGGGCATGGTGGCGCGTACCTGTAATCCCAGCTACTAGGGAGGCTGAGACAGGAGAATTGCCTGAACCCAGGAGGCGGAGGTTGCGGTGAGCCGAGATCGCGCCATTGCACTCCAGCCTGGGTAACAAGAGCGAAACTCCGTCTCAAAAACAAACAAACAAACAAACAAACAAAAAACAAAAAATACGGATATGCAATGAATATCATGCAACCAATAAAATGATGTAGCTCTATATTTATTATAATAGAAAAATTTTGAAGATGTACTATTAAATGTAACACAAAATAGGTTTTTATTTATTTATTTTTTGAGACAGAGTCTTGCCTTGTTGCCCAGGCTGGAGTACAGTGGTGTAATCTCGGCTCACTGCAACCTCTGCCTCCCAGGCTGAAACCATTCTCATTCCTCAGCTTCCTGAGTAGCTGGGACTACAGATGTGTGCCAGCATGCCCAGCTAATTTTTTATATTTTTAGTAGAGACAGGGTTTCAGCATGTTGGCCAGGCTGGTCCTGAACTCCTGGCCTCAGGTGATCCACCTGCCTCAGCCTCTCAAAGTGCTGGATTATAGGCATGAGCCACCACTCCTGGCCTCAAAGTAGATTTTAAAACATGTCCAATATGAGCTTGCTTTTGCAACAAAACAAGCTTGTTTTAAAAGACCCCACCTCTTAAAAAATAATAAAAATAAAACAGTAGGTTGGCCGGGCGCGGTGGCTCAAGCCTGTAATCCCAGCACTTTGGGAGGCCGAGGCGGGTGGATCACGAGGTCGAGAGATCGAGACCATCCTGGTCAACAAGGTGAAACCCCGTCTCTACTAAAAAAAAAAATACAAAAAGTTAGCTGGGCATGGTGGTGCGTGCCTGTAATCCCAGCTAATTAGGAGGCTGAGGCAGGAGAATTGCCTGAGCCCAGGAGGCGGAGGTTGCGGTGAGCTGAGATCGCGCCATTGCACTCCAGCCTGGGTAACAAGAGCGAAACTCCGTCTCAAAAAAAAAAAAAATAAAAAATAAATAAAACAGTAGGGCCTGAGCTAGTGGCTCACACCTGTAATCCCAGCACTTTGGGAAACCAAGGCAGGCTGATCACTTGAGGTCAGGAGTTTGAGACCAGCCTGGCCAACATGGTGAAACCCTGTTTCTTCTAAAAATACAAAAATTAACCTGGTGTCATGGTGGATACCTGTAGTCCCAGCTACTCAGGAAGCTGAGGCAAAAGAATCACTTGAATCCAGGAGATGGAGGTTACAGCGAGCTGAGATCATGCCACTGTACTCCAGAACTGGCGACAGAGGGAGACTCCATCTCAAAAATAAACAGAATTAATTAATTAAAATAAAATAAAACAGGTAACTGGAAATAAGAGTTCAGGGATTTAGCATAAGTAATAAGTGGTTAGGTCAGAAGGATATCTGACACTTGAAGTGAGTAATGGAATGGAGGTAAGGAAAATGAAACTTAAAGAAAAATTTATGTATTTTGTCCCATGGCCCTATAAATAACTAAATTAGAATATTTTCCCTCAAAATAACCTAAATTCATTAATTTAATTGCTGTAAAGTAAAAGGGAAAATGGGAGACCAGAAAAAAATGTTGCTTTGTGATTATAACCTATAATTTATGAATCATGCTTATTCAACTTAATGGCTATATTTGGTTTAATAACTTCTTTCAAAAACACATGGTCATGATATATGACTTTGTGTACACCAAATAGCAACATTTTTGTTATTATTTTGCTGTATTGTAGAATTTTTTTTTTTAATTTTTTATTTATTTTTTTATTTTTTATTTTATTTTATTTTTTTTTGAGACGGAGTTTCGCTCTTGTTACCCAGGCTGGAGTGCAATGGCGCAATCTCGGCTCACCGCAACCTCTGCCTCCTGGGTTCAGGCAATTCTCCTGCCTCAGCCTCCTGAGGAGCTGGGATTACAGGCACGCGCCACCACGCCCAGCTAGTTTTTTGTATTTTTAGTAGAGACGGGGTTTCACCATGTTGACCAGGATGGTCTCGATCTCTCGACCTCGTGATCCACCCGCCTCGGCCTCCCAAAGTGCTGGGATTACAGGCTTGAGCCACCGCACCCGGCTGTATTGTAGAATTTTAAATGTCTTATTTTATGGTGTCTGCCACCTGGACAAATTTGTGAGTTAACACTGCTTTTTTTTCTTTTTCTTTTTCTTTTTGAGACAGAGTCTTACTCTGTCTCCCAGGCTGCTGCACAGTGGCGCAATCTTGGCTCACTGCAACCTCTGCCTCCTGGGTTCAAGCAATTCTGCCTCAGCCTCCGAGTAGCTGGGATTACAGATGTGCACCACCACACCTGGATAATTTTGTATTTTTAGTAGAGACAGGGTTTCACCATGTTGGCCAGGCTGGTCTCGAACTCCCCACCTCACGTGATCCACCTGCCTTGGCCTCCCAAAGTGCTGGGATTACAGACATAAGCCACTGCGCCCGGTCTAACACTACTTCTTCAGGACTTAGATTTCACCAAAATAAATCAGACTACTCCCATGAACTCTTTCAGATTAACAAAAGTTCAATTTTCTAAATTCCTGATTTAGAATATTAAATAATTATTTGTCCTGTTAGAATATTAAATAATTATTTGTCCTGAAAGAGTTAATGCAGACTCCAAAGCCCTTATTTCCACTGGAATAATTTCCAATGGTTTAAGTGAGAATCTGGTTCAACAGATTTTGGAAATGTGGAGTCATCTCTTCAGTGTATCCTAGAAAATAAACATCTAATTTACTCAGATTGGGTCAAGATATGACAACTGCACTTAAGGTTGTGTCACTGAACCATAATATGAAAAAAGCATTCTACAATGGTTTTTCTTTTGCCTTTTTTTTTTTTTTTTTTTTTTTTTTGAGATGGAGTCTCACTCTGTCACCCAGGCTGGAGTATAGTGGTGTAATCTCATCTTACTGAGACCTCTGCCTCCTGAATTCAAGCAATTCTGTCTCAGCCTGGGACTACAGGTACCTACTACCATGCCTGGCTAATTTTTTTGTATTCTTTTTTTTTTTTTTTTTTTGTCTTTTTGTTTTTTTCCTTTTTGTGGAGAACGGGGTCTCGCTATATTGCCCAGGCAGGTCTCGAACTCCTGGGCTCAAGCTATCCTCCCGCCTCTGCCTCCCTAAGAGCTGGGATTACAGGCGTGAGCCACAGCGCCCGGCTTTTTTTGTATTCTTAGTAGAGACAAGGTTTCAGCATATTGGCCAGGCTGGTCTTGAACTCCTGACCTCGTGATCTACTTGCCTCGGCCTCCCAAAGTGCTGGGATTACAGGTGTGAGCCACTGCACCTGGCCCTTTCTGGTACTTCTATTAACAGATTTCTAAGGATGAAATTAAAAGTGGACCTATCTGGTATTATAACTGGTTTTTTGTTTTATGTTATTCAAGGGTGACATCTACAGGCCTATGATGAGAAACACAGACTAATGCTGAATTTACCTGTACTATTTTATGACAGGTGTGAGTCCTAACCTCCTACTGAATATTACTTTTGGTAACTCCTTGGTGCTACAGGAGAAAGTTAAGTTAGGGAAACAAAAAGTATATGATCAAAAGCCCAATTACCAGAGTGCTTCCAGTCCATAACTTACTGTGATTGGAGGGATGCAAGAGATTTTCGTAAGGTAGACTGCACATCTAACTGAAGCAGCCTAGGAATATCTGGGTACCCACCCAGCTGGGCCCAGAGTGAATGCATAGATGTCTTCTCTGCTATTGGGTAGCTTGTAGTGGACAGATCAACATTCCAGATGGCCTCTGTCTGGTCCTCTTGTTGTCTACAGAATCAGAGCATAAATTGGAAGCACCAAATTTTTCTGAGCTCCATAGCCCATTAATATTTATCTTATTCACCCCTCTTCACCACCACCTAGTCCTATAATACCCTCCCCTTGCACTGACCAGCATTAGCTCTGCCCACTTTGACAGACAGATGGATGAAAAAGCAAAACTGGCTGAGTTACCAAAGCTGCATTTTCATTACTTCACCTAGTAATCCATTTTAAAACTACCATTTTAGCTTCATGGCTTATAGAGACCACATAACTTTTCTCCTTCCTTCCTAAAGCTCCTTCCTCCTTAAAAAGAAAGAAAGAAAGAAAGAAAGAAAGAAAATAAAAAGAAAGAAAAGAAAAAGAGAGGATAATGCTTCTAAGTTTATTAAAATAATTTTTTTTAGTAAGAATCAGCTTTATTTTTAGAGGAACTCAAAATCCAATGTTAAATATTTAAGTAGAAATATATGTAAATTAACCTCTTACAAAATTAGCTAAGGGAATTAATACTCCTTTAGACTTTCCATTGTACCATTTGATAATTGTGGGGAAAGGGAAGCTCTTGGGCAGGAAATTAGGTCCCACATATCGTCCAAACAAAGTTTAACATCAGTCTTTTTAGCACATACCTAAATTTCTTGAATATGTCAGAGGTTCTGTCCTCTTCCATTAGTAATTTTAAGAATGGCTTTTGAACAAATATGGTAGAGTCAGGTATCTGCTTTCCTTCGATGATTAAGGGGATAGGTTGACTAAGATTCAATGCATACATCTTTTTGAGCTATAAAAAATTAGATCAGAAAAAGGAAACCGTGAAAAGAGAATCTTTAGAAGGGTCTTCAGAGCTGTCCCTAGACTAAACTGTGACTCCTCCTTTTCCATGGATTTGCATCCTCTCCCTACTCCACCCGCTTCCAACATTCATAATTTCAGAGGTGGCAGCTCTGCTATGTAAAAACCTTAGTCCTACTTAAGCTTGACTCCTGGTTCTCTCATTTTCTTGAGATGTTGGGATAGTTGCTTAATTTATCTGTACTTCTTTCTCCTCATTTCTAAAACAGGGTTAATAACACAGGGTTGTTGGGGGAACTGTAAAACACAGTATACATGGAAGCACTTTACAAATTGTGAAGCAGTATGCAACTGTAATGATAGCCAGCGTTTACTGAATACTTACTGAATGTGAGACACTGAACTAAGTACTTTCCATATATTAGCTGATTTGGTATTTATGACAACCTTATGAGATATGTATTATTATTACCCTTGTCTTATATATGGAGAATCTGAGGCTCAGAAAATGTAAGCAGCTTGCATGAAGTCACTTAGCTAGTATGTAGCTAGGCTGATTTGAACCCCAACAGTCTGGTAGCAGAACTAACCCTCTTGACCACCATGCTGATTCAGTGCAAGGTGTTTATTAATAGATAACCTCTTATCCCTTTTGCTTTGTCTCCTTTCTCTAAGCCTTGATACCCATACCTCATCCTCTGGTTTCTGGCTTCCGTGACCCCAGACCCTTATTCCTCCTCTGAAATGCCCTAGGCATTGTGATTCCTGTTAGATAACCCATGTTGCTGTCCACCCTATCTACATTGGCTATATTTGCCAAATAAAAAAAAAGGGAGCATATTCATTTTTTTGACAAAGAGCTGTAATATTTAAAATATAACTGTTCTGGGCCAGGTGCAGTGGCTCATCCCAGCACTTTGGGAGGCCAAGACGGGTGAATCACTTGAGGTCAGGAGTCCAAGAACAGCCTGGCCAATGTAGTGAAACCCTGTCTTTACTAAAAATACAAAAATTACCTGGGCATGGTGGTAGGCACCTATAACCCAGCTACTCAGGAAGCAGAGGCAGGAGAATCACTTGGACCCAGGAGGCAAAGATTGCAGTGAGCCAAGATCACGCACCTGCACTCCAGCCTGGGTGACAGAGCAAGACCCCATTTCAAAAAAATAAATGAATAAATAAAAAATAAAATATGGCTGGGCGCAGTGGCTCATGCCTGTAATCCAAGCACTTTGGAGGCCAAGGCAGGTGGATCACGAGATTGGGAGTTCAAGACCAGCCTGACCAACATGGTAAAATCCCATCTTTAAAAAAAAATAAATAAATAGGCCGGGCGCATTGGCTCACACCTATAATCTTAGCACTTTGGGAGGCCAAGGCGGGTGGATCACGAGGTCAAGAGATCAAGACCATTCTGGTCAACATGGTGAAACCCTGTCTCTACTAAAAATACAAAAATTAGCTGGGCATGGTGGCGCGCACCTGTAATCCCAGCTACTTGGGAGGCTGAGGCAGGAGAATTGCTTGAACCCAGGAGACAGAGGTTGCAGTGAGCCGAGATTGCACCATTGCACTCCAGTCTGGGTAACAAGAGTGAAACTCGGTCTCAAAAAAAAAATTAAATTAATTAATTAATAAAATAATAAAATATAACGGTTCTGGAAAATTTGCAATATATGTTTGACTTGGATTAGGTTCTGTCTGATGAGAAGTCTCTCTCTACCTTCCAAAGTCGCAAGTAAATTAATCTTATAAATTAATTGATGTCAACTGGGCATGGTGGCTCACGCCTGTAATCCCAGCACTTTGGGAAGCCGAGGCAGGTGGATCATGAGGTCAGGAGTTTGAGACCAGCCTGGCCAATATGGTGAAACCCTGTCTCTACTAAAAATACAAAAATTAGCCAGGCATGGTGGCATGCACCTGTAGTCCCACCTACTTGGGAGGCTGAGGCAGAAGAATCGCTTGAACGCAGGAGGTGGAGGTTGCAGTAAGCTGGGATTGCACCACTGCATTCCAGCCTGGGCAACAGAGCAAGACTCTGTCTCAAAAAAAAAAAAAAAAAAAAAAACCTGATGTTAATGAGAGAGAAGGATATATAGTTATAAAATATCTCTAGAACCCCAGCTTGTAACATTCATCATTAGAACTCAGGCCAGGCGTGGTAGCTCATGGCTGTAATCCCAACACTTTGGGAGGCCGAGGCGGGTGGATCACCTGAGGTTAGGAATTCGAAACCAGCCTAGCCAACATGGTGAAACCCCATCTCTACTAAAAATATAAAACTTAGCTGGGTGTGGTGGTGGGCACCTATAATCCCAGCTACTCAGGAGGCAGATTCAGGAGAATTGCTTGAACCCAGGAAGTGGAGGTTACAGTGAGCCGAGATACTGCCACTACACTCCAGCCTGGATGACAGAGCAAGACTCAAAAAGAAAAAAGAAGAAGAAGAAAGCCATTTGAGCTGGGCGTGGTGGCTCAAGTCTGTAATCCCAGCACTTGGGAGGCTGAGGCGGATGGATCACGAGATCAAGAGATTGAGACCATTCTGGTCAACATGGTGAAACCCCGTCTCTACTAAAAATACAAAACATTAGCTGGGCATGGTGGCGCGTGTCTGTAATCCCAGCTACTCAGGAGGTTGAGGCAGGAGAATTGCCTGAACCCAGGAGGCGGAGGTTGCAGTGATCCGAGATTGCGCCATTGCACTCCAGCCTGGGTAACAAGAGTGAAACTCCATCTCAAAATATATAAATAAATAAAAGAAAGCCATTTGAAAGACAGAGGCAGAGATTGGAATTATGTGGCTACCAAAGATTGCCCATAGCCATCGCAATCTAGGACAGAAACGTACAACAGAATGTCCTCTCAGAGCTTCTAGAAGGAACCAACCCGGCAGACACCCTGATTTCACTAATTTCTGGCCTCTAGAACTGTAGGAGACTAAATTTCTGTTGTTTCAAGCTATGAAGTTTGTGGTAATTAGTTACAGCAGCCCTGGAAAGTAATATAGCATGCTGTCTCCAGGTAAATGTCATTTTCGAAGCTTAACCACTTTCATGTTTTTACAACATGCTGGAGAGAGGGAGTGGAAATTAGGTTACCTCGTCAAATACATGTATCATTTTCTTCAAGCACTGATTCCGTTTCTGCCCTAGAGACTTCTGCTTCTCAGTCCAGACCTGCATCACCTTTTTCTGGTAGTCATCAAGTCTGCTCAGCATCACGTAAAGATTCCTGGCCTCATAGCCTTTCCCAGTATTCTGGATGGCTTTTAGTCGTTTCATTATGTTGTTTCTTGAAAAGATAACTAAGAATTAGAATGATGGCTGGGTGTGGTGGCTCATGCCTGTAATCCCAGCACTTTGGGAGGCCAAGGCAGGTGGATAGCCTGAGGTCAGGAGTTGAACCCAGCCTGGCCAACATGGTGAAACCCCATGTCTACTAAAAATACAAAAACTTGGCCAGGCGCAGCGGCTCAGGCCTGTAATCCCAGCTACTCAGGAGACTGACACAGGAGAATTGCTTGAATCCAGGAGGCAGAAGTTGCAGTGAGCCGAGATCGTGTCACTGCACTCCAGCCTGGGCAACAAGAGACAAACTTCATCTCAAAAAAGAAAAAAGAAGGCTGGGCGAGGTGGCTCAAGCCTGTAATCCCAGCACTTTGGGAGGCCGAGGCGGGCGGATCATGAGGTCAGGAGATCAAGACTATCCTGACCAACATGGTGAAACCCTTTCTCTACTAAAAATACCAAAAAATTTAGCTGGGCATGGTGGCGTGCACCTGTAGTCCCAACTACTCGGGAGGCTGAAGCAGGAGAATTGCTTGAACCCGGGAGGCGGAGGTTGCAGTGAGCCGAGATTGCGCCATTGCACTCCAGCCTGGCGCCTGGTGACAGAGCAAGACTCTGCCTCAAAAAAACAAAAACAGGCCGGGCGCGGTGGCTCAAGCCTGTAATCCCAGCACTTTGGGAGGCCGAGGCGGGTGGATCACAAGGTCAAGAGATCGAGACCATCTTGGTCAACATGGTGAAACCTCGTCTCTACTAAAAATACAAAAAAAATAGCTGGGCATGGTGGTGCGTGCCTGTAATCCCAGCTACTCAGGAGGCTGAGGCAGGAGAATTGCCTGAACCCAGGAGGCGGAGGTTGCGGTGAGCCGAGATCGCGCCATTGCACTCCAGCCTGGGTAACAAGAGCGAAACTCCGTCTCAAAAAAAAAAAAAAAAAAAAAAAAAAAAAAACAAAAACAGAATGATAACAGTTATGACCCTACTTTATCAAACTTGTCCTCAGTTTCTTTCTTTTTTCTTTTTTTTTTTGGAAACAGAATCTTGCTGTGTTGCCCAGGCTGGAGTGCAGTGGCATGCTCTTGACTCATTGCAATCTCTGCTCCCCGAGTTCAAGCTATTCTTGTACTTCAGCCTCCCAAGTAGCTGAGAATGCAGATGCACACCACCACGCCCAGCTAATTTTTGTATTTTTAGTAGAGATGGTGTTTTGCCATGTTGGCCAGGCTGGTCTCGAACTCCTGACTTCAAGTGATCCTCCCGCCACAGCCTCCTAAAATGTTAGGATTACAGAAGTGAGCCACTAGGCCCCAACTGTCCTCAGTTTCTTTCAATTCTCCCATCATACCCAGTAAGTAGAGAAGGATGGGAACCTTACTTCATCAGATATTAATCCAGTTCCTTTATGAACAAACCTTCAAAAATCTATATGATAACCAAAACTTTCATTAAGTCTTCACAAAGTTTTTAGTGTTAAAATAGTGTTGCTTCTTATCATTTTAATATATTTTAAAAGTTAGGCCAGATAAGGTAGCTCATGTCTGTAATCCCAGCACATTGGGAGGCTGTGGTGGGAAGATTGTTTGAGGCGAGGAGTCTGAGACCAGCCTGGGCAATATAGTAAGACTCCATCTCTACAAAAAAATTAAAATAGCTGGGCATGGCTGGGAGAGGTGGCTCATGCCTGTAATCCCAACACTTTGGGAGGCCAAGGCAGGCAGATCACAAGGTCAGGAGTTTGAGACCAGCCTGACCAATATGGTGAAACCCTGTCTCTACTAAAAATACAAAAATTAGCTGGGTACAGTGGCACATGCCTGTAGTCCCAGCTACTCAGGAGGCTGAGGCAGGAGAATTGCCTGAACTCAGGAGGCAGAGGTTGCGGTGAGCCGGGATTGCGCCATTGCACTCCAGCCTGGGTAACAAGAGCGAAACTCCATCTCAAAAAGAAAAAAAAGAAAAAAAATCCAAAAATTAGCTGGGCTTGGTGGCAGGTGCTTGTTATCCCAGCTACTCAGGAGACTGAGGCAGGAGAATTACTTGAACCTGGGAGACAGAGGTTGCAGTGAGTGAGATAGCACCACTACACTGCAGCCTGGGTGACACAGCAAAAACTCTATCTCTAAATAAATAAATAAATAAAATTTAAAAAGAAACAGAATGGTACTTCCTAGGTTTTCTTCTAGGATTTGTATAGTTTGAGGTCTTACATCTAAATCTTTAATCCATCTTGAGTTAACTTTTGTATATGATGAAAGGTAGGGATGCAATTTTATTCTTCTGCATATGGCAAGCTAGCTGTCCCAGCATCATTTAATGGATAGAGAGTCCTTTCCCCATTGCTTATTTTTGTTGACTTTGTCCATGACTGTCAGATGGTTTGGGCATGGGGCTTTATTTCTGGGTTCTCTATTCTGTTCCATTGGTCTGTGTGTCTGTTTTTGTACCAGTACGATGTTGTTTTGGTTACTGTAGCCTTATAGTATGGTTTGAAGTTGGATAATGTGATGCCTCCAGCTTTGTTGCTTTTGCATAGGATGGCTTTGGCTATTTGGGCTCTTTTTTGGTTCCATATGAATTTTAGAATAGTTTTTTCTCATGTAGTGAAAAATGATGTTGTAGTTTAATAGGAATAGTATTGAATGTGTAGATTGCTTTGAGCAGTGTAATCATTTTAATGATATTGATTCTTCCTATGCACAAGCATGGAATATTTTTTCATTTGTGTCATTTATTATTTTCTTTCAGCAGTGTTTTGTAATTCTCCTTGTAGTGATCTTTCCTCTCTTTGGTTAGAAGTAGTCCTAAACATATTAAATTTTTAGTGAATATTGTAAATGGGATTATGTTCTTTATTTGTCTCTCAGCTTGAACATTATTGATGTATAGAAATGCTATTGATGGCCGGACACAGTGGCTCAGGCCTGTAATCCCAACATTTTGGGAGGCCGAGGCAGGTGGGTCGCCTGAGGTCAGGAGTTTGAGACCAGCCTGACCAACATGGTGAAAACTTGTCTCTACTAAAAATACAAAATTAGCCAGGCGTGGTGGCACATGCCTGTAATCCCAGCTACTCAGAAGGCTGAGGCAAGAGAATCGCTTGAACCCCAGAGCCAGAGGTTGCAGTGAGCCAGGATTATGCCATTGCACTCCAGCCTGAGCAACAAGAGTAAAACTCTGTCAAGAGAGAGAGAGAGAGAGAGAGAAAAGAAAGAAGAGAGAGAGAGAAAAGAAAGAAGAGAGAGAGAGAAAAGAAAGAAGAAAGAAGAGAGAGAGGCCGGGCGCGGTGGCTCAAGCCTGTAATCCCAGCACTTTGGGAGGCCGAGGCGGGTGGATCACGAGGTCGAGAGATCGAGACCATCCTGGTCAACGTGGTGAAACCCCGTCTCTACTAAAAATACAAAAAATTAGCTGGGCATGGTGGTGTGTGCCTGTAATCCCAGCTACTCAGGAGGCTGAGGCAGGAGAATTGCCTGAACCCGGGAGGCGGAGGTTGCGGTGAGCCGAGATTGTGCCATTGCACTCCAGCCTGGGTAACAAGAGCGACACTCTGTCTCAAAAAAAAAAAAAAAAAAAAAAAAAGAAGAGAGAGAGAAAGAGAAAGAAAGGAGAAGGAAGGAAGGAAAGAAGAAAAGGAAGGAAGGAAAGAAAAGGAAGGAAGGAAGGAGAGAGAGAGAGAGAGAGAAAGAAAGAAAAAGAAAGACTACTAAACTTTTGTACATTAATTTGTATTCTGAAACTTTGCCAGGCAGGCAGGCAGGGTGCAGTGGCTCATGCCTGTAATCCTAGCATTTAGGGAGGCTGAGATGGGTAGATCACCTGAGGTCAGGAGTTTGAGACCAGCCTGGCCAACATGGTGAAACCCCATCTACTAAAAATACAAAAATTAGCTGGAAGTGGTGGTGTGAGCCTGTAGTCCCAGCTACTCGGGAGGCTGAGGCAGGAGGATCTCTTGAACCTGGGAGGTGGAATTTGCAGTGAGCCAAGACCACACCATTGCACTCCAGGCTGGGCAACAAGAGCAAAACTCTGCCAAAGAAAGAGACAGAGAGAGAGAGAAAGAAACTTTGTTGAAGTCATTTATCAGTCCTAGGAGCCTTTTCGTGGATGGAGTCTTTAGGGTTTTCTAGGTGTGGAATTTATCAGCAGAGACAGATAATTTGACTTCTTTTCCTGTTTGGATGCCTTCTATTTCTTTCTCTTGGGTGACTAATCTGGCTAGGACTTCCAGTACTATATTAGACAGGAATGGTGAGAGTGGACATCCTTGTCTTATTCCTGTTTTGTTTTGTCTTGGTTTGTTTTTTAAGGTCTTAACTACTTCAGTTTTCTGTGGACTATTCCTGTTCTTTAAGAGAATGCGTCCAGGTTTTGCCTGTTTAGTATGATGTTGGCTGTAGATTTGTCATAAATGTCTGTTATTATTTTGAAGTATGTTCCTCCAATGCCTCATTTGTTGGGGGTTTTTATCATGAAGGGATGTTAGATTTTATTGAAAGTTTTTTCCACATCTATTGAGATGATCATGTGGTTTTTATTTATTTGTTTATGTTTATTTCTTTGAGATGGGAGTTTTGCTCTTGTTGCCCAGGCTGGAGTGCAGTGATGCAATCTCAGCTCACTGCTCCCTCCGCCTGCTGGGTTTAAGCAATTCTCCTGCCTTAGCCTCCCAAGTAGCTGAGACTATAGGTATGTGCCACCACGCCCATCTAATTTTGTGTTTTCAGTAGAGACAGGGTTTCTCCATCTTGATCAGGCTTGAACTCCTGACCTCAGGTGATCCACTCGACTTGGCCTCCCAAAGTACTGGGATTACAGGCATGAGCCACCGCACCTGGCCTATTTTTAATTCAGGTTATGTGGCAAGTCACATGTATTGATTTGTGTATGTTGAGCCATCCTTGCATCCCAGGAATAAACCCTACTTGATTGTGGTGAATTAAGTTTTTGATATGCTCTTGGATTCAATTTGCTAGCATTTTGTTGCGGATTTCTGCATCCCTTTCA